ACCCTGAAGCCGCCGTTTCCTCACCCCCGCGACCCCTGGATGCACGCGCGCCTGGCCGGCCGGCAGCGGCGCGCAGCACCCGCTCCAGGACCGCGAGAGCAGCGGCGCGGCGCTTCTGCTCCTGCGGGGGCAAAGCCATCGGCCCCGCCTCCAGCGATGGCAAACACGCCGCCAAGTCGCTGGTCACGCTCGGCGGGAGCATGTCGCCCTCCCCGTCCACGTCCGCACGCACCCGCGCAACCTCGGGCCCGGGCAACCCTACGCTGAACCCGTGGTAGTGCAGATTCCCTCCCGCGCCACACTCGGCCCTGGCCATGGCCAAGTACTTGAACTGCTCAGAGTGCGGCAGCACTGCAGGCATCACCATCCGCATGTTCAGCTCCACCCGCAGGGCCATCATGTACGCCACCAGGTCCGGGTTGTCCCGAGCGAACCGAAAGCGCTCCTCTCGCCCGTCACCCACCCAATCCCCGAGGGCGCGCTCCCCTGCCGCCCGCGCCCCCGGCCTCCTCCCATGCGCTGAATGTCAAACGCGGCATTGTAGAACGGATTCTGCGTCCACCAGATGGACGGGTGCCGGCCGAGCCCGACAACATCCGGCACGAGAGGCCGCCTGCGCTGAGTCCGACCGTTCCCCGCCGGCAGGTCCATCTCGCGCAGGAACCGCCTGCCGACATGCTCCGCGCCGTCCGCAAGAGGGCCCTCGACCCGGGGCGGGTGCCAGGACAGGTGCTTCACAGTACTCTGCAACTTCTTAGACTCATAGGACCAATGCATCGTGGTCGAGGGCACGTCGCGCCCAACGTTCGCCAGCTGACCCACCAGGATCCGCACACGGTCCTCGCTCTCCAAGATCTGCCTAAGCCCACCCTTGGTCATGACACTCGGGCCCTGCACCGCGAGCCCCGCCCGCCTGTACATGGTCCGATACACGCCGAAACCCTTCGCCCGGGCCTCGTTCAGGAGCAGCACGTTCACCATGGCCCACATCACGCGCTGCCCACGCGGACCACCAACGAACTGCCCGGTGCGGTAGCGCATCAGGTGCTGCACCACTCCTGCACGGAGACCTGGCGAGGGCGGTCCTCGAAGAGGTCGCCGATGCCCATCGGGAACTCCAACGGGAACGCCCTCGCGAAGCGACCGACAGAGCGCGCCGGGATCGGGTCGTCACTCTGGCCGGGCCACCCGTAAATCATCCGCTCCCCCGTCCGCGCGACCACCTCGTCCTCGTCAAACTCCGGCAAATTCTCCTCCACGCACCCCGTATCCTTGTCCTGAGCAGCTCCCACGAACCTGCCAGCCATGGCCAACTCCAGCATCACATCGTCCAGGACCGCCTCTGGAGTCACGCCCCCGCCCGGGTCAGAGAACGGCCCCCCGACCCGCGGCCCCATCCAGTGCACGAGGAAAACGACGCACACGCACTCCACGGGCACCCGATCCCTCTGCACGGCCACCACTTTGCTCTCCCCCCGCGCCGCGTCCAGCAAGCGCCCGAACAGGTCCTCCGTCGTCTCGTCGTCACCAAACTTCAGCCCCTCCAAATGACCCTCCGCCTCCGGCTGCAGCCCCGCCCACCATCGCTGCACAGCCCCGCCGTACCTGAACTGCGCCTTTTCAAGCCAAGCACTGAACACATCGTGATCGACGGCCATGGCCTCGTCTCCGTCCCCGACATCGAACTGATCCTCATCGGCCTCCTCGGCACCACCGTCGCCCGCGGCGTCCTGGCCGCCCTCGTCGCCACGCTGTGCGCCGTCGCCGTCGCGGACTCTTGCCCCGCGCTGAGCCTCGTCACGCGGCCCCACGAAGTGCACGTCGAAGCCCGCGGCAATAAACTGCCGCGGCGTGACGACGTCGACGCCACACGGAACAGCATCCCTGGCAATGGCCTCCGCCCGAGTCACCGGCTCGGGCCCCTCGGCTTCCCCCGCCTCGCCCCCCGACAGCACGGCGCCGTCGTCGCTCTCCTTCGGCGCATAGCACCGGATGATGTCGTCGTCCGGCAGCACATCAAAGAAACGCGGGTCGTAGTACTTGTGCATGGGCTCATTCGCAGTGCCGCCCAGGCGCCAGGGCCCGTACGTGCCGGCGAACGCGCACAGCGCCCGCAGCACGTGCCCACAGTAGCGCCAGCGCACGTGCAGGCCCTCGACCACCTCCTTCCCGAATCCAACGTTCCGCCGCAGCATCAGACTGAAGGGCACCTTCCTCGGGTGCCAGGGCAGCATCACCCGCGGCTCCACGTTCTCCTGAAGCTCCCTCCCCCTGCAGCCATGGTCGTAGTCGATGATCACTTCCCCACTGAGCAGCACCTCCGCGACCCGACCGGGAAACACCAGGCGCCCGTACACGTCCACGCCGAAGCGCTGCCGCTCCTCGTCCGTGGCCCCCGCGGCAATGCGCTCCGGGCGGTGCGGGTCGTCGGGGCGCTCGCCAGGTCCGCGCACCGAGTTCACGCGATCCCCGACGCGGTACCCCTTCATGAGCTCATGACGCCGCGCGAACCCGGCCACATCCTGCGGGAACGAGATGATGTTCTTGCGGAACTTGCGCAGCCCTGTCCGGGACACGGTGGCCAGTTGCACCTGCATGTGGTCCAGAGCAATGAGCAGGCTCTCCGTGAGCGTGGCCTGGTCGAACAGGTCGCGCAGGTCATCGGAGGGGAACCGGAAGCACGGGTCCATGTGATTCTGCGCGGTGCGGAGTCCCACCACCTGATACAGGTCGTCTTCCGTGGGCGCGGCCGCCGCCTGCTTGTCCAGATCCCGCCTACACCGCATGCACACGCCCGCGCACTCCAGGGCGAAGCCATCCGGCGGGTCGCTCGGCGGCACCTCGTCTCACTCGGCCACCTCCGTGCTGCACGCAGCCAGCCCGTCCCCGCCGCGACGCAGCAGCAGCATCTCATCCGCCAGCTGGTCCGGCGGCTCGAAGGCAGGGTGGAACGCCGGGAACCGCTCCTGGCACTCGTGGCACGTGAACTCCACCATGCGCGTCAGGATCGCCTGCGCCGCCTGCACGGCCCGCACGGACGCATCGCGCAGCTGCACGTCATACTTCGCCACGCGCAGCGGCACCGTCTTCAGCGCCAGCAGCATGCACTTCTGGTGTACGTCCCCTGCCTCGACACGGCCTCGGTGATCCAGTGCGGGCGTCCACGCTCCCGCGGTTCCAAACGCATCGCGCAACTCCGCTCGCGGTCGGAACTCCCAGTGGCCAGCCTCTGGCGCGCCTGCAAACACAAACACTTCCCGCTTCCCTGGGCGCGCGCGGTCGCCCGGGGCCCACCGACTTCGGAGCACAACCCTCAAGTCATTCCCGTACCGACCGCGCTTCTTCGCCGGGCCCACCGAGCGCAGCGCCCTGGTCTCTCGACGCACCAGCCGCCGCCGCACACCGATGCGCCGCCCCCGTCAACCACCCCTCCCAATCCAAGTCGGTGTCGCGAACCCTGTAGTACTCATCGCCTCGCGCGCGCGCAGCGCAGGCAGGCAGAAGCAGGCGCCAGCAGTGGCACCGATCGCACTGCGCCCAATTCCGCATACAGAACAAGTGCGACGCCCCGTCGTCGGCTCCCCCGCACGCCTCGGGCCCGGCGCCGCCGTCGCCGCCCCCCTGCGGATCCTCTCCGGGCGCATGCCCCATTTTCTCGTTCGCTTGCAGCCTGTTCTCCTTCGAACGCGGATCAATGTGCGGATAGCACTGCGGGCCTGCGTACGGCTTCAGATACTGCTGCTTCATTGGGTACCGCCGGATCTCCTCGCTGGTCAACCGCAACGCCTCCACGCAGTCCTTCTCGCTACAATCCATTTCGGAAACTTGCAGCTGCCCCAGGTACTTGTTGAAGACCGCCCTGCTGTACCACATGAACACCTTCCCCCCCTGCTGCCCATTGTAGGACTCCCTCTCCGATCCGACCCGAGTAGTTCCCTCCCCGCAGCGATCCTGCAGTGTCCGCACCCCTGCCCCCTTCTCGTATACGAAGCCAGAACGGCCATGGTTCTTATGAGTTCGGAGATTGTCATGGACTTGCTTGAGGCACTGCTCGTACTCGCTGTTCGTTAACACAAATCGCTTGTGCTCGTCCACTTCACACAAGGACTTCAGCTCAGGCTTCATCTTCGACGCCACGTCCCACATCGCGTGCCGCGCGTACCACTGCTTAGATGGCTTGTTTGCCTTGAGCGCGAACTCCTTGAACTTATCCAACGCGCCTGCAGGAATCGGGCCCCTGACGCGCCCGCGCGGGCACCCATATCGAGCGCACTTCCCGCACACGTCGCTTCCCGTCTTCGGCCGAAACCGGCACTGCTCTCGCCCCCAGCCCCCCCCCCACGTCAGCCCTTTGCAGCGGTCCTCGTCCACGTAATCCGGCTGGAACTGCCGGGACTCTGCCTCGGACGCAAGCGCCCCGTCCGCGGCCCCGCGCTTCCGGCGCGCTCTCCGGGCACCGCGCGGACGCGCGGCCGGCCCGCTGCCATCGCTTGCTCCATCGTCAGCACCCCCGACGTCCACGGTCACTCCAGGAAGGACAGGCATCTCCTCGCCATCAGAATCGCTCGGCGGCGCCGCGGCCGAAGCCGCGCCCCGAAGAGCGCGCCTCGCAGCCGCTGCCTGCGGTGCGACGGCGTCCGATCGCGCCGGAGCAGCCCCCGCGCCATCCTCTTCCACCGTAACCCCTGGAAGCATCGGCATGTCCTCACCCGAATCGCTCTCGTCCCCAGACGCACGGCCACGCGTGGCGGCCGCAGCTGCAGGTCGACGAAGCACGGACGCCCCCGCAGCATCGCCCGAATCGGCATCGTCGACGGTGACTCCCGGGATGACTGGCATGTCCTCGCCTGACGACGACGGCGCCCCATCCTCACCAGTCGCGCGTCGCTGCCGCGCAGCAACGGCCGCCATGGAAATTGGGTTCTGCGCACCTCGGAAATGCGCACCTCGCTTGCTTTTCGCGGCTGCCGTCTTTTTCGGCGCACTCCTCTTCGGCGCGCCTGCAATCGACCGCAGCCACGGCGCGGCGCCTGCGGCTCCGAGAGATACGCCAGCGGCCAAGCGACCGTCCACATCAACGACCGTCGCGACATGGCCCTCTGGGTACCACACAACGCTGCCGATCTCGGCCCCCCCCGCGGAACCAAAAAACCACGCGCCGGAACACTCCCCACGCAGTAAACCATCTGCACTCTCCGCCTCATAGACTCGCATCCTCGAACGGCGCGCCTCCAGCCAATCCTGCACGAGAGCAAAGTTCGCCTTCTCCGACGCGTCACCGCACGCCCCAGCTCCGGAATCATTAGCGCACTGCAACTCGAAGAAGCCCTCCGCCTGCGCGCGCGCGCCAGCACCCCCGCACCGAGCGACACTCAAATGCAGACACTTATTCCGCCACGGCCCCAGGCGATCTCCCGCATCAACAACTCCGAGTCGCCCCGACGCGACGCCACGTCGAAGGCGCCGCCGCCACGCGCGGGACGCGCCAACCCCCCCAGCAGCACCGAGTCGTCCCACGCGGGAACACACATCGCAGGACACACCGCCCAGCGCGGCGAAGACACAGGCCACGCGCAAAGCCGCATCGCCAACGCACTGCCCCGCCCTCTGCGACGCCCTCCAGCCAGCGCCCCCCACGCACTCGTCCGCGCCCCGGCCCGCCCTGGCCTTGGCAGCGCCGATGCCAATGCCGGGGGAGAACCTGCGCGCGCACACGCGCCGCCCCCCGCACCTCCGCGCGGAGAGCCCACGCAGGCCACAGTAAAACCACTTGGCGACCCGAACCTTCGCGGCAGACGGCGCCGCATCGGACGTCGCGCCAGAAGCTCTCTCTCTCTTTCCACATCCGCGCGCGCGCCATCGCGCGCGTCACAGCGCGGCCACCCGACAGAACTTGTGGCCTTGGCGGGAACAGACCCAGCGCAGCAAAAACTGAAACTGCAATCAGCGCAACCTCCCCGACTGACAGCGCAGACACCCGCGCTTCCAGAGACGACAGCGCCACGCGCGGGGTGGACACCGAATCGACAGCCCGCGCCGATCGGGCATTCAGAAACTGCTGCAGTCGCGCGCTTCTCCGCCCCCCCAGCGCCGCGCGGGACACCCGGGCACGCCGCGGCGACTCATCGCGCGCACGCGGCGTCTCATCGCGCGGAAGAAGGCGCGGCACGACTGGAAGCGGGACACGGACCGCCATCTCTTCGTTACGCGCCGCCGCCGCCTCCGTCCGCCGCGCCCACTCCGCCTCCCGCCGCGCACAGCGCGACCTCCGAAGCGACGCGCGGCACGCATTGCGATGCGCTTTCTGCTCGCGCTGCGCTGCCTCCCAGGCGGCATCATCCACGGCTTCCTCCCTGATCACGTCGTGCTCTGCGCGCAAGCTCTCACGCAGCCGGTCCTCCCACTCCACAGATCCCCCCAGCTGCGGGGCGCGCTCCGCGCCCCGCACAGACGGAGCCCGGACCGAGACCACGGCCGCGACAGAAGCCGAGGCCAACGCCACTGCCAAAGAGGAAGCCGGGACCGGGGCTGACCAGACAACGTCGTCAGCTCCAAACCAATCGTCGTCATCGTCATTCTCGTCGTCGTCGTCACAATCGCTGGCGGCAAAAGCATCAAGTTCCCCCGCGTCGAAATCCTCTATAAATTCACGGCCATCACTGCTTTCCCA